CATAGCACATCCCGACTCTACATTCTGCCAAGTTGTTGTCACTACCTCCAAAAACTTAGGGTGAGTTGCCCAAATATTGCAATACTTGAAAGGTTTGCTAATCCTTCCAGGTGCATTAAGTAGTTCCACCTTGATAGGAGAGTGGTCACTAATGCCTGCTGGCAGGTAGTTGGCTATGTATGCAGGCATCTGGAGCAGCCATTCATTATTGATAAAGGCCCAATCTATCTTACAAAGCACCTTGTGTCCCTCATGCCTGTCACTTCATGTGTATCTACTTCCTTTAGGAGGCAGTTCCAATAGTTCATAAGACTCTACACAGTCTTGAAACTCCATGACTTCATTGAGTGTGATTGAGTTGCCCACAATCCTGTCATCCATGTTAAGCACTGCATTGAAATCTCCCATGGTGATCCATGGTCCACTGCAACTTCTACTTATATCATTAAGATAGTGCCACAATACTCTCCTATCCTCTTTGGCATTATGTGTATATACCACTATTAGTGTGAAAGTTATATTCCTGTTTGTCACCCTACAAGTTATTGCATGTACATTACTTGAAATTTTGTTAACCTGAAAGAGATTTGGCCTCCAAGTTAACCAAATCCTCCCATTATAAATGCTCAAGATTGGTGACATACTCCCCACCTCCAAACAGTTTGCCTGTCACCTACTCAATCTTATTTTTTTGATTTTTGTTTCTACCAAACCTACCAGTCCTACTTTCTCTTTCCTGCAAAGGAGTTGTACCTCTCTTTGCTTATTCGGGCCATTTAGGCCCCTTAAATTCCAACATAACATGCTATTCATGGCCTGAGAGAGGTATAGAATTCCCTCCCTCATTTCTAACTTTACTGGCTCCTTGTCCTCTATTGCTATGTTCTGCCCAGTACTTGGAATGCATTTTTGTTCTGAGCTTTTACTCCATGGTTTGATTGCTTCTTGCTTGGGTTCATGGGAGTAATCCATGCACTTTTACCAGGTTGTGGATTGGTTCCCTGAGTTTTATCAACCCCTTTACTTGTTCCTGTTTCCTTTGAAACCTCAGTTGCTTTCAAGTTCTCAGTTGCTACTACTGTTCTTCCTTGTGTCTTTGGTTCTTCTGCTATATTGTGCCTCTCTTCCTCTAGCTTCTTTGGAGACTCTTGCTGGGGTTGTTCTTCTTCCTACAGTTTTCTTCCACATGGCCAAACTTCTAGAAATATTTGCATATAGTAGGTTTCCAGTCATAGTGTACTCTCTGTTCCACCAGGCTTCCCTTCTCATTCCTGAAATACACCTTCTCATCTAGGTTTGTATCAATATCTACTTCAATCAGTAGTCTAGCAAAGTTGATCCCCATCTTTTTCTCAGTGTTTTGGTCCACCATTAGCGACTTCCCAATCAAACTCCCAATTTTGCTAAGTCCCTTAGGGCTCCAATATTTGAAGTCCAAACCTGGCAATTTCACCCATATTGGTAATGTGTATAGCTCTTCTCTAGTGAATTCCATATTCGGACTCCAAGCCTTTACAATGAATGGATTGTTGTCAAAATGATATATACCTCCTTGGATTACCTCATTCTTCCCCAATTCTATGTCAAATCGTACTAATACAATGTCATTTTTCAGCATCACTACTTTATTAATGCCATGCTTTGCCCACTGCCTTTGTATATATCCATTCAATACCGTGAATGGAGGATGTGCCCCCAATACATAGCATACCATTGCATATTTTTAGTATGTTATTTTAGTGCTTTTGTCCTCTATGTCAATTTCACAAACATGTAACTCACCATGCTTTTCTGGTTCAACAAAATCAAGTTTGAAACCTGCGTTTGAGACCTTGGTAATGTCGAAATTATCCCAAATTGAGCTTTTTGTTGTCATCTCCACTGATGCGTCCACGTCCTCTGCCCATGTCATCCTTCGATTACTACTCGAACTTTGAGTTGGGGTTAATTTCTCAGTACTCTGAAGATCTACTGTTCCATTGCTTTGGTCCATGATTCCTTCAATTACTGCTTCGCTCGACACTTGCATGTTGTCCTTTGTCCCTTTTGGCTAAGATCCTTTCTTCCTTTGGTGATTTCCTCCATAAGTTGCATCTTCCTGGGCCATTAATGCCTTCTGCGAGGGAATTCACACTCTCTTTTCCATGGATGGCGCAGGTTAAGCTAACATACATCGAGAGAGAAACATATCCCGCCCGCTATTCCCTCCTCTTTTGTGTTCTTGAGTACTTTCTTGACCAATCTATATTTCAGTGGTTTATTTGGGTTACTAATGACATTACGACTTCAAATCAACTAAAAACTATTCAAGGAAACTCACGTCAATGGTTTAATAAATGCCTAGTCTCGGGGGTCCCCTTCAAAGCTCTCCAACCCTCTTTCTCACGTTGCAATTGAAAGGGAATAGCAGACAATGCTTATTTTTTTCTTTAACAAGGCCTCTTTCTATCACTCGAAAATAAATTTAACACTTTACAAAGTGCTGATGACACTTCCAAACAATGACTTGTTCATCCTACCATAATTCAATTAAATTACCAACTTTGTGAAAATTCTTAAATACTAAAGAATCATTCTCAGGATTGTAATTAGCCTAGATTAAATACCAAAATAGACGGGGCTTTACAGATAGAGCTACGGACTATAAATGGTGATAGAATATTTCTGGTAAATGGATAGAGAGACAACGCTATTAGGGAGAAAATTTTGATCACAAGAAGACTAAGGTCTACCTCGCAGATGAATATGCGAGGAGTCTGCATCGTGACGCTACGTTAAATCAGACGCTTGGGAGGCACCCAATTTTATCGTTTTTTGTATAGTATAGCTAAGTGTTAGATTAGTATTTTTGATGATTTTTTGTAGTTGCTTGTGTCGTATAGTCATAGGCAAGGAGTGGATTTCACAATAAAACCAGCAGCATGTAAAAGCTCGGGACATAAAAGGGAAACCATGCACTGCTGCAAGGTTGCAGAAAGTGAAGCCAGCAGGTTTAGTGCTCAGGTCTTCGCGACCAGAGTGGGTTATATCTAGAGCGCGACAGGTCTTCGCGACCAGAGTGGCTATTTAGAGATTAGCCAATACTTATTTTGTCCTAAAATTTTAAACTAAAAATCTTAACTTCAGGACAATTCGGGACACTTTTGTCCGAAAGATTGAACTGAAAAACTGAAATTCAGGACGCATTGACTAATTTTTAAATAGCAGCCCTGTACAGTGACTACCTAGTGTCATTTTCACATCTTTTGATCCATTAACTCACCTACCCATACCCCTTGTAATTCAAATAACCTACCCTCCTCTTTAAACAAAAGTGGAGGCATATATTATATATTTTTACATAAATAGCCGGTCATATTATTGTTTATTTTTTCTAACCATATACATAGATTATACATTGATTATATACAATTATATACATATATACATAAATTATACATTCACTGGCTATTTTTAGTTCGGCAAAGAGCCATAAATAGCCCTAATGCATGCTATTTAGAGCGTTTATACCCTCCGTTTCAAAATCGGCTCGTTCGTAACCCTCTCGTTAACCAAACAGCCCGGAAATGCCATTATTGACTAACAAAGCCGATTTCTTCCTTTTAAAATTTCAAAGTAGCTTTTTTTTTTTAAAAAAACGCCACATTTAATTAAACGGCAAAGGGCCAAATATACCCCTATACTTTCGAAAATGGTCTAAGAATATCCCTCATTATATTCTTGGGTTATCTATACCCCTGCAGTCATATTTTGGGTTCAAATATACCCCTCATTTAAAAGGAGGGACACGTGTCATCGTCCTGTTGGTCAATTCTAAATATCTCCTAATTAATTAAAAAGACCCATTATCAATACCCGAAAAATATTTTTTTTTGTAAAAACTGGAAAAAACTAAAAAAACATTTTTACTAAAAACTGGAAAAAAACGAAAATATTTTTTTTTCCAGTTTTTACAAAAAAACTTCTTTAAAAAAACTGAAAAATATTTTCTAAAACAATATTTTTGTAAAAACTGAAAAATAATTTTCTAAAGCAATTAAAAACTGGAAAAAACTGAAATATTTTTAACTAAAAACTGAAAAAAAAGAAAATATTTGTTTTTTCAGTTTTTACAAAAACACTGCTTTAGAAATTTGCTTTTTAGTTTTTTTTCAGTTTTTACAAAAATATTGTTTTAGAAAATATTTTTCACCTTTTTTTAAAGCTGTTTTTTTGTAAAAATTGGAAAAAAAATATTTTCGTTTCTTTTAGTTTTTAGTAAAAAAAATTTCAGTTTTTACAAAAAATATTGCTTTAGAAAATTGATTTTCAGCTTTTTTTTTTTTAGTTTTTTCAAAAACATTGTTTTAGAAAAAACCGAAAAAGCAGTTTTTTTTGTAAAAACTGAAAAAAAATATATTTTCGTTTTTTTCTGTTTTTAGTAAAGATAATTTCAGTTTTTTCCAATTTTTATAAAAAAAATTGCTTTAAAAAATTATTTTTCGGGTATGATTAATGAGTCTTTTTAATTAATTAGAAGATATTTGGAATTGACCAACATGACGATGACACGTGTCCCTCCGTTTAAATGAGAGGTATATTTGAACCCAAAGTATGACTGTAGGGGTATAGATAACCCAATAGTATAACGAGGGTATTTTTAGACCATTTTGGAAAATAGAGGTATATTTGGCCCTTTGCCGCTAATTAAATACCTCTCACCCACTCGCCATTTTACCCCCCCCCCCCCNGCTTGCCTTTGCCCATCCGTTTTTGCCGTGTCTTGGCATTACTGCCTCATGCCTTGATGTCTTTGCCATGATTAAGTGCCATCCTTAGCCCGCAACTCATTGTCAAGCCTTAGCCAATCTGCCTTGCCTCCGTCAAAGCCTTGGCCATCACTTGCCAGTTTCCCATTTTTGACATTGGTGCTGCTCATGCACCAAACTTTGCAACACTCTTGCTGCCTTATGACAACACTCTTGTTGTCCGGTCGAGCTCAATTGTTGGAGGTCTAACAGCAGGGATGGTCTTGTAGCTGCTCGACACTTGCATCACTTTGGTTATCCAAAATGAAATACTAAACCTCCTTTTGCTGGTTTAGTCACCCAGGTAAAGGATATATATAATTAACATGAAATTCTTGAAGCTCAATATTTCTAGTTTATTTGATATGTTAATGGATGCGAGAGTTTCTGTAGCTTGAATCATTGTACATGGCATTGTATATGGATGTGAGCGTTTCAGTTCCATTTTTGCTCGAGGACATAATATATAGGCAGTTCCATTTGTTATTCAAACTGGCTTACAGTAGGATATAGTATATGGGCAGTAAAAATATTTTTTGCTTCGTAGATGGTTGCAAGAAATCTCACTTTCTTTAATGAGCTTGTCTTTTTTTTATTGTATATTGTCTTCCTTTTCCATAATTTTTTTCCTTTAAAATGAAGATACAAGATTAATCTATTGTGATTAGCAAGTACATGTATCCACCACCTAATTCCCAACCCCTTTAGTTTAGTTGTTTGAGGCTTGAGTTCATAGGAATTTTTGTCAAAATTGGGCATGTCGTGACTTGATTGAATATGAGGTGATAAACGACAAGTCTCATTACCTCGTCACTTTTGGGAAGCTAATCCAATTGCACCCTTTTTGAAGAACTTGAACAAAATTTATGCATGCTACATGTTCGATGAATTGCTTGTGAGAAGAATTTGCTAGCCAGTGATCGGTGAAGTCTGTTACAGAGCATGGTGTGGGGATAATTAGGAGTAAGTGTGGGGGTGATAGGGAAGGGTTTGGAAATGCACCAAGGTTGCTTTGCCCGATGGCTCACGAATGTCCTGCGTGCGCGAGGGGTGTGCATAACTGTCCGCTTGCTTGTGATTGTATTGTATCGTTTCTTTTTTTCTTTATTTTAGGCTTGTATTGAGCTGTACTATTAGAGTAGCTAGTTAGTGTCAACGAGGGGACCGATAATGTTATGATCACTTTGTTATGGCTCGTGAGAAAGTCAAGTGCATCATTCATATGCTGCAATGTTGTGTGCTACTTGCGAATCATATCTTCTGTTGAAAAGGGGAAGTCTTGAGTAACATTAGTTCTCTGTTAAGGTGAAAATCGTGTTTGCTAGGCTCTTGGTACTTAAACTGTGCACATGCTTGAGTTTTAAATGTGGGGTCGTTTTGACCCGCCCTTTTTGGTGTAGTTTGATTTTATGAGATCCATCTAATGTGTTGCATATGCTTTGCAGGTTTAGATACAATGGTAAGTGAAAAGCAAGCCAAAGCCAAGGCTACTGCAAAGCCTTTTCACTTCCACCCGATCTACTAAGAAACGAATTCAGAGTGAGGCAGTATCGGGAAGTCTAGCCAAAGGCAAGCAAGTTGCTGAGAGTTTCATGAGACCACCAAAGAGGTCTTGGCCGGAAATTGAATTCAGCAATGACAAGGCTAGAACCACGGGCGGACCCACATGGTGTCAGGGGTTCAGTTGAACCAGCTTTGTCGAAATATTATACATACGGCGTATATGGATATATTACGTTTAACAGAGGAAAATTACTACTATAAAAAAATGTTTGAACCCGCTTTAACACAAGCATGCTCCCAGTGGAGGTCGAGCGGGTTTAAAGTGTGAGAGAGGTGCTAGGATCGAATCCAATTTGGGGCGTTTCCCAATTTGTTTTTTAATCCATACTTGAATGGAGTGTGTGCAGCTGAAGGCCAAGACCATTTTTGTTTCAAATTAAACATCATCCTTCAAATTTATTACTCTCATGCTCTCTCCTTTGTCACTTTACTATTTCGTTGATTTCTATTTCTCCTTCTCTTTTTTCTGCAAATAACTTCTTATTAGTACGAAGGAAAACTCTAGATTTATTTAAATATCTTGGAGTTAATAAATATTTGTTAAATTAAATTTTTTGAAGTAAAATTTGTTAAATTAAATAAATAAATTTCTTAGAATAGAGATAAATAATTTTTTTAACCTTTATAAAATATTTTCAGTTTTGTTAAAATTAAAGAGTACCAACTTTAAAATGATTTCATTTTGATATTGTATTAAGAGCAAAAAAGATAATAAAATGATCAAACCCTACTTGTCATACCCGACACCAAGTCACCACTTATGCTATTAGACACCTTCGTCTTTGACTGAACCTGTTTGCGTAAAATCCTGGATCTGTCACTGACTAGTACATAGTTCCATGGGTTTGAACCATATGTGCGGTATATTTTTGAACAAAGGCATTAAAGAAGCGGCACTGAAGAAGAACTTTTATGAGGTATTGACAAAAATGAAGGCACTAAAGCTGGACAATCTATTGAAGCCACTAGGATATGCCAAATTGAGCATGGTTAAGGAAATGTAGGCCAACTGGAACTATCATAAGGATTGTCTAGAGGTATGGGGGACATTGGTGGACCTATCACGAGAAGCTTTATGTAGATACTTGGGGCTGGGAACTTTTCTCCAGGGACATTCACTAAGTTTATCCACAGTCCATCTTACACGGTCATTCATCATACATTATGCTGAGTGGACTCCACTGCCTAGTGGACCTATACTATTGTAAAGACACACCTTGAGATGTACAAATCTGATTTCACAGGCAGTTCGAGTGTGACACGGTTTTGTCTAGGCCCGCATTGAGCCAGCTGAGCATAACTACGATTGTACGCGAGCCTGTGTGTGCTTGATTTGTTTTCTAATGATAAGGAAACCTATAAATATTGCGCAACTTATACTTTGATGAATGCACCTGTCACGACCCCAATTTTCCTCCGTAGAATGTCGTGATAGCACTTAATCTTTAAAACTAGATAAACTTAATAATTTTGCGGAATAATTGAATAAAAAGCTAAAACTCAAACCTCAACATTTGAAATAAATAAAACTTGCGATTCAAAATAGTTACAACTCCCAGAACCTAGTAGAAATTAGTCACAAGCTCTAAATAAAATTACTAAATATCTCTATATATCAGAGTCCAATGAGAAATAAGGAAAATAACATAATATAGATGGAGGGGGACTCCGAGGTCTGCGGACGCTGGCAGATGTACCTTGAAGTCTCCACGTGCGGACTAGCTCACCGGTACCTGATCTAGCAGGTAGTACCTGGATCGGCAAAAAATGATGTGCAGAAGCATAGTATGAGTACACCACGACGGTACCCAGTAAGTGCCAAGCCTAACCTATGTAGAGTAGTGACGAGGTCAGGTTAGGGCCATACTGGAAATAATAGGAACAACGCATAAGATATAATAATATAATGAAATGACAGAGATGTGCAACAATAGAACTTCACAAAAATTGCCAAGGCGAACGACCCGATCCCATAAGAGTGTGGTACATAATTCTGCCGAGACAAACGGCCCGGTCCCATAAGAAAAAGAAGCTTTAACGGGTCCTTGACCCCACTTACAAATATACGTGTGAGTTATGAAATTTAAAAAAGCTTTTCGATGAAAATGCATAAAGAGAGAGAAATTCATAGGGGAAGCATAATTATTCCGCGGCTAATCAAGTAGCTCATTAAATCTCTTACAATAGCGAGTCTATCACTCTACACAAGCCTAGTCTCAAGTCGTAATGCAAAATAAAGGAATTAAACAGGCAAGGATAACACAAATAGTACAATTAAAGCATGGCGTAAACCAAAGAATACCTGGACAAATCATAAATCCTAGCATATGCACGGACACTCGTCACCTCATACGTGCGTATTTCCCACAACATGTAGCACATAAGAATATAACACCTACATGGTAAATTCCCTCTCACAGGGTTACACAGGAGACTTATCTCGCTCCGAAGTTTCATAAACGGCTCCAATGCCTCTCTAACATCTCGACTCAAAGCCAAACGATCCGCAACTAGTCAAACAATGTACAAATCAATTAAAATATACTCCAATGCTTATAATTAATCAATTTATAATAATTCTCAACTCCCCTCGAAAAGTCAACCATCGGGCCCACGTGCCCGAATTCTGAATATTTGCGAATATAAACTTTATCCATAACATCACGAACTTAAATATATAATTTATTTTAAATTCCATGTCCAATTTCGTGGTCGAAATCCAAAAATATGATTTCTAGGTTTTTCTTCAAAAATCCTACAATTTCCACCAATTCCATGTTAAAATATATATATAATCCATGTAAAATAGTTGAAAATTGAAAACCATTATTTACCCAACCATAGTAGATGAAAACCCCTCTTCAAAATTGCCTCCAACCGAGTCTAGGGTTCCAAAAATGAGAGAATGTATCCAAAATCCCGTCTCCCAGCCCTTTTACCCGGTGCATATGTCGCATATTCGCAATTGCGTACCAAAGAAAAAATCTACAGACTTCGTAATTACGAACAAATGTTCGCAGTTGCGAACCAAGGCAAAAATCTACAGACTTTGCAATTACGAACAAATGTTCGCAGTTGCGAACCAAGGCAAAATTCTACATGCTTCATGTAATGACCCAACCAGTCGTTTTGAGAGTTGTTGCCCCGTTCCTCCATTTTCTGCTCCTTTTGTATTCTAAAGTTGTTATATGACTTACCGGGTTAGTTGGTTCGAGTCTGGAGAGATTTCAGAGTGAATTGAGACACTTAGTCTCTTAATTGAAAGCATAAGTTGGAAAAGTTGACTGAATATTGTCTTATGTGTAAATGACCTCGGATTTGAATTTTGATGGTTGCGTTAGCTCCTTTAGGTAATTTTAGACTTAGGAGCGCATTCAGATTGTGATTTGGAGGTCCGTAGTAGAGTTAGGCTTGAAATAGAGAAAGCGAGAATTTTTGGAAAGTTTAACTGGGAGTGGACTTTTTGATATCGGGGTCAGATTGGATTTTCGGAAGTTGGAGTAGGTTCTTGGTGTCCTTTACGACTTGTGTGCAAAATTTGATGTCAATCGGACATGATTTGATAGGTTTCGACGTCGTTTGTAGAATTTGGAACTTTCAAAGTTCATTAGACTTGAATCCGTGTGGAATTCATGTTTTTGATGTTGTTTGAGGTAATTTGAGGGTCAAGTAAGTTGGTATTAGGTTATAAGACTTGGTGGTATACTTGGTCGAGGTCCCGGTGGCCTCGGGTTGAATTCGGGTGGTTAACAGACTTGGAAGTAAGTTGAGGAAGCAGCTGAAGTTTTGTTGTTGCAGGTGTAATCACACCTGCTGAGTGGGAACCGCAGGTGCGAGCCCGCAGAAGTGGGGAGGAAGCCGCATAAGCGGCCATGAAGGATTTGGGTAGGGGTCGCAGATGCGGACTTTGTGGGAGGCTTATGAGAGGCGTAGGCCGGTCGGTTTCAGCACCCCTTACATGGAAGGAGTTCTCCATTCTCTTCCCTGAGAAGTTCGTGCCTCAGTCCCGCAGAGAAGAGCTATACAGGCAGTTTGAGTAGTTTTGTCAGGGTGATATGTCTGTGATGCAGTACGAGATGAGGTTTTCTGAGTTGCCTTTCATACAGTCTGGTTGGTTCCCACAGATATGAAGAGGATCAAGAGATTCATTGATGCTCTCACATTTCAGCTACGGTTGCTTATGACTAGAGAGAGGGTGTCTGGTGCTAGTTTTGATGAGGTTGCCGACATTGATCGTCAAATAGATATGGTCCTCAGCCAGGAGCGGTTTGAGAGGGAGGCCAAAAGGCCTCGTGGACAGGCGAATTCAGCGGTGTTCCTTCTGGGGGTCAGTTCTACCATGGCAGGGGTCGTCCTTACAGGCATGCTCAGACGGATCGCCCAGTCCACCGTAGTGCATCATCTGGCCATGGTTCACACAGTTATCAGCAGGGTCACTCATCTCTCAGTGCCCTTCCAGCTCAGAGTTCGTCCTGTGCTCCATCGGGTTAGGGCTTGTTTATGCCAGGTCCTTCTACCAGTTATCCTGGTGCTCGGGGCTCTCTCCAGTCCCCACCAGCAGCACCGAGGGGGGGTGGTATGAGTGTGGAGAGTTTGGCCATATCAGGAGATAGTGTCCCCGCCTTACGGGAGGTCCGGCTCAGCAGAGGAGTCAGACTAAGACATCAGTACCATTTACTTCACCACCCCGCTCAGCCAGCTCGGGGTAGGGCCCAGTCAGCTAGAGGTTGCCCTAGAGAGGGAGGCCGATCAGGTGGAGGTCAGGCCCGATTCTATGCTCTTCCCGCCAGACCATATACCATTATTTCCGATGCAGTGATCACATGTATTGTCTCAGTCAGCCACATGGATGCCTCTGTATTATTTGACCCTGATTCCACTTATTCATATATGTCATCGTATTTTGCTCATTATCTGGATATGCCCCGTGAGTCTCTAGTTTCATATGTTCATGTATCTACGTCGGTAGGTGATACTATCATTGTGGATCGTGTATATCGGTCATGTGTGGTGACTATGGAGGGATTGGAGACCAGAGTTGATCTTTTGCTGCTTAGTATGGTGGACTTTGACGTGATTTTGGATATGGATTGGTTGTCTCCATATTATGCTATTCTAGATTGTCACGCTAAGACCGTGACGTTGGCGATGCCGGGGATGCCAAGAATTGAATGGAGAGGTTCTTTAGACTATGTTCCCAGCAGAGTGATTTCATATTTGAAGGCCCATAGGATGATTGGGAAGGGTTGTTTATCTTATTTGGCCTTTGTGAGGGATGTTAGTGTTGATGCTCCCATTATTGATTTTGTTCCGGTGGTGCGGAGTTTCCGGATATGTTTCCTGCAGACCTGCCGGGCATGCCGCCCGATAGGGATATTGATTTTGGTATTGACTTGGTGCCA